CCTATTGAATACAAACAAACAAACAACTAAATAAACATGTAATATTATAATATAATAATTACCTATATGTATAAAGCAGCTAATAGACAAAAGGGCTCCTAATTGTACTGACAACTGCACATCAAATTATACCAAATACAATCAATCGACATTCCGCCTTAACACTTTAGAAATAGACTTGAAATTCAATTGAATAATTTTGACACACACGGGTAGCTTGACATGCGGCTACTATTAGGCTGTTAACGGCTATACATCTTGCTGTCGGCTCCACGCCGGTGGCCGATAGCGCGATAGCCTATAGCCGATACTTTTGTACTGACAGCAAACTTAATAAGCTAAAGGCTAATTGATTGTGCGTTTAATCGAAATTGCGTACATTTGTCTTTTAAGGGAGTTCTATTAAGTTCTATAAATATTTAATAGAATTATTAATTTTTAGTTGTAAATTGAATAGTTATTAATTGAATAGGGACAAGACAGCCTTATTGGTCGAATAATCGCAAGCGCCATTGCTGACCAAAGGGTTTCGGATTACTGGACTCCCAGAACCAGTAACATCACGGCGTGTGACAAGGGTCTATTTCGTACATAGGATTCAACATAGTAAATTAGATGAAAAATGGGTATAATATTTTTTTAAACGTATTTATAATTTTCCTCTCCATACTACTGCTGCTAGAATAACCCCAAAAGATACTATAATTTCTAGTATAAAAATAAGAAAGTGGGTGTTACTTCTGCGTGCACCTCTGCCTACCCCTTCGGGGATAAAAAGCGTGATGTTATGTTATGTTATAAAAATTAGCTCAAAAATTATTGATGTATTCTTAAAATTGTACAATTTTACACACACATAAGTCGATAAGACATTATTCTACGCTTACCAAATCCCTTGCCAATCCCCAGTCACCGAACTGCTATGTTACCACTACCAAGTACCAAGAGATGCAATACAAGTCATACATACATATATACATTTAAAAGAGCCCATGAAAAATTGATCCCCACTTTGCCACTATCCGCTAAGGTAATGGAAGAGGAGATAGGAATGAACTGATACGGTATTCTGAGATTTATTTTAAATATTTATTAAGGATGGTAGGGTTATTATTGCTTGAGTGGTTTGAAAATAAATTGGTTAGATATAAAAGTTATCAATTATTATATACTGTGATACCTGTGACTCCTCTGGTGTTGCGGGTGTCCATGGGCGGCGCTGATCGCTTACCATCAGGTGAGCCGTCTGCTCGTTTGCCTCCTAATCCAATAAAAAATTTAGTTAGATTTTTGTAGATATAGATAGTGAACTTGTGCAGTTTTCAGTATCTTATTATTGTAGTTCTAAGGTTGATAATATATCTAGAAACCTATTTTGAAAAACATATGCCAATGCAAGAATTTAAATTGTCTTTAGAATTCTTAGCTCCAAAATATTCAATTTCAAGTAAACTTTTCCTCTTTCTTTCTCAAATATTTCCAACACAGTTTATCATAATTTGTCTGACGAAAAGACTTAACTTGACTAAACACAGATTCGTCAAACATACTTGCATACATTAAAAAAAATACAACTGTTGCACTACAATACCTACCACATCCACACAATTCTTTCATCTTAACCCTCACACGCTTTCCTCTCCATTATTTAGGCATTTGTAACCGTCACAGCCACAAAGCGGTTGATTGTACCCGTAGAAGAAACACGGCCAACTTAACCTGACCCTTGACGCCCAGTTACATCTTGATTGATATCTCTACATTTGTTGTAGGTCCCGAGGCCAAGTGGACTGGTTTTGACACATTAATAATGTATTAGTGAAAGCATAGTCGTTTTTTTTTGTTTTTCTTCGGAACCTTAACTAGTGGTTTCTTGAGGCCAATTAGTGTTGTAACGCTACTGAGTTAATGAGTAATTATTATGAAAATTGTTTATTTCAATGGGATTTTTTGAATAGTTCTTTTTTTGAAAATTTGGAATGACTTCAAATTGAATTTTAATGCATGTTTTATGTGCCAGTTACGCTATTTGTCGTCTTTATCCGGGATTTCAAATTACATTCTTTTTAACTAAAAATCGCAGGATACTCACGTGAAAATAAAATAAGAACCTCTCTGTGGTTCGAAACTAATAGAGCTTTTCTCAGTATATTCACGTGAGTAACCCGGGATTTTTAGTGAATTTAGTGTGTCATATGACAGTTATTATGAAAAATGCATTATTTTTTAATATCATTTCACTTTTTTTGGTAAAGATGAGAATAAAATCTGAAAATAAAGGAAATAACAACCTTAATTAAGTAAAAACGCGGGTTACTCACGTGAATATACTGAGAAAAGCTCTACTAGTTTCGAACCACAGAGGGGTTCTAAACTAATGAGCTGCGCGACATCGCCGCGACCGCGCACGCTGCTCATGAGGAAGAACCGCTCTGTGGTTCGAAAATAGTAGAGCTTTTCTCAGTATATTCTCACGAGTAACCCGCGTTTTTACTTAATTTAGCATGTTTCACGATAGTTATTATAAAAAAGAAATAACAACCTTTTAACTTTAGTCCCTATATACCCATGTAATGATAATACATATAATACAACAAGATTACTTTTCTAGTACCTAATCTCCTTATGTAACCAAAGTATAATGATATTACGAAATTGATTTCAAGTGAAAACGATAGTATCCTGTGTATAGATAATTATATTGATAGCAAACACCGGAAAATTCTTATTTCCGTATAAACAGCGTTTTATCTAATCTTTGTATTAGTAGATAGGTGTCCATTACTCAATTTGCCTGTCTCGTTCATCAAGTGGTTGCAAGTACTATTTACTAGGTACCTGGTTAATTCCCCGATCGGGAAATATTATAAAGGTACTCCTTCACCGGGAGCATTCACATGTAATGTAACATTATAGATTCGACTTTGAGCATTACATTACAATAATACCTCCCTGACTAACGAGCATTTGCGTGTAATGTAACATGTAGATTCGACTTTGAGCATTTCATAGCAAGATATCAGATATTGATGTTACAAGTTGTATCAAGATATTACACATTGTATCATTACAAGGCGCGCATTGTAATGCTCGGTTCTCCTCCTTCACTGATGTAATGCTCATATCTGTAACGTTACATTACACGCGTATGCTCCCGGTGTGGGAGCACCACTTAAGGTTTTAGACCTGACATTCAATCTCACCAAGATTTTCATCACACGTGTATTCAGCGCGCAGATACATCGTTTTCATTCAACTATGTGCAGTTGTATTCAACTCTGTTCAATATCAACTTTGTACATTTTTCGGTCATGACATGGTGGCCAGTCTGTCTAACTAGACTAGTCCACTACGCAGGAGTTAACATAGTGCACAAGTGTGTGCGCAAACACAAGTGCACTCTCTATTCCCTCACTCTCTGAATCCAATGGGACGGCAGACCGACACGACTGGAGAGAGGTTAGCCACAGGACCAACGGCTTCGCTGAACTTCCTGACTCCGGGCCAATAATTATCATTTTGCTCAGAAAATGCCATTATCACTTTTTAGCCGGTGCGGGAATCGAACCCGTGATACTTTGCCCAGCAGCCGGTCACCCAAACACTGCGCCAACCGTCATACATACATTATAATACATGATCATCACTAAACCTCTAAGGTAGTGGGTTGACAACTGCGCGAAGACAGTTCCAACTGCAAATAACTGTATGCTATTAATTATATTCGACTACGTGCAAGTCTGACAATAGCCTGAGAATCAGTACTGACCCGAACCTAGTTGGCAAATGATCAACATAGGAGTTTTCTTTTACTACCTTATAGACCTTAAAATCAATATTAACTCGGTATTTATGCAAAAGACGCCAATAAATTAACTACAAAATTAAATAGACTGCGATTCTACTGACAGTTACGACTTTTGAAGCGTGGGTCCAATGACTGTTTTCCCATTGTTTCGCTATAAAAACGCTATAAAACATGGCGAACGTAAAACTCTATAAGCTTTCTCAGCGATAAACTTTCTATACGGCTTAATTATATGAGGTACCTGGGTTTAATGAAATTATTTGTTTCCAATATTGAAGCGTGCCTATAAACTGGTAACAATTTTCCGCGGTAGGTACCCATGTACCTAATGTCTTGTTGAACTTCGCTATATGATGTTTTTATAATAACTATCGTACTAAATTTACTAAAAATCGCGGGTTACTCACGTGAATATACTAGTGAGTGAGTGTGTAGGCTGCGCGACATCGCCGCGACCGCGCACGCTGCTCATGAGGAAGAACCCCTCTGTGGTTCGAAAGTAGTAGAGCTTTTCTCAGCATATTTACGTGAGTAACCCGTGATTTTTAGTTAATCGTTATGATGTTAAGTAGTCTGTAATAATACTGAAGAATATAAAGAAAGAAACTAATGTTTTTTCTAAGTCAGCAATGAGTTTTACCGAATTACACTTCTAATGTTGCATGCGTGCATAGGATGCGGTTACTGCAAGGAGACAGTAAACAATGATGCATCTCGTACATCTTTAGTAAGAATGTTATTTATTCTATCCCTTACTTAGGGATCGCAATAGGCGGCGCACACCGCACACTGCGCTTTTGTTTAGTCTCTTGGGCAGAAGTCGTTAATACATATGTAAGCGAAAAGTGGGCTTTATGTTTGATAAAATATGTGTTTTTTGTTTTCACACTCTAGGAACTCTAGAGGCATTACAAGTGCGTTACTGGCCTTTTGGGAATTACGAATTTGAGGATTGTGGGGGATTCGGGGATTGGGGAGACTGGGGACAAGGAAATTGGAGCGGTAATCTCACTCACACGACGAGACAACGCAAGCGTTGTTTCACGTTGGATAACTGTGAGGCGTGGTATCACTCCGGTCGAGCCGGCCCATTCGCTCCGAAACATGGCTCTTACACAGTTAAAACATGGGTGGTTATGTTCTGTCACGAATTTAGTGCATTATATTAATTTGTTTTGTATGTTTGTTACAGAGATCGAAGCAGCAGAAGCATGCAAATGGCTAAGGGCTGCTGGCTTCCCGCAGTATGCGCAGATGTACGAAGGTAAGCAGTTCCTAATTTTATTTAATTAATAAAAATAACAGGACTTCATGGACTAGCGATTGGACACGAATTAGTGTCAATTAGTGGCTTGGAATACCGAATAGGTTACCATTATTTGTTAGAATTCACAGAGATACTGTCTTGACATCCCTCTATCTACGTAGAGGACCAAAATGAAAATACATTGATGCATAAAGATATTTTCTTGGTGACACGTGACTAGTTCAGAAAAACCACATCCTTGTTTTGCTAATTTTTTTATTAATTCCATGTTACGAAATCAACTATAGCCATACCGTATAGACGGATCTTTACATGTTGCTACAGAAAGAAAAAACATTATAAATGTAAGTACATTGCTAACGTCCTTATGACTACAACAACGATGCAACAACATAATAACGTAGGTCCAAGTACAAGTAATAATACCAGCAATGAACATGAAACTTTCCTTTCAACAAATTTACAATAGGATATAAAGCTAGGATTTCCACGAAGTGCTATCCTATTAAGGACAGTCCCAATAATACAGTCCCGACCTGTCCCAACGAATCTATTAATCATACTTACCAGTCAATGCGCTGTTTGTCCTACATTTCGTTTATTGATGTACAGGTGGTTGTTAAAATTATGGTTTATGCAAATCATTGAATTTAATTTCTATTTCGTTTTTACATCTAAGTAAGTACTCAGTTATCTAATTTTTCAAGTAGGTTATACATAAAATAAGAATGGGTATTCGTTTTTTTAAGGATTTTTATATTTATTGGCCGATTGCTGGTAGTAAGTATACATAGATTAGATAGATTTCTGTTCCTTGCTGTTACCTGAAAAACTCTTAAAACATTTTATTGATTCCCCCTCAATTCTGAATAGAATAAATTCTGCCAACGACATTAATTTATAATTAAAAACAATGATAATTCAAGCTCAACTCTAATCCAACACCATGCCTAATGCCTCGCATTCGCAATTAAACTGCAAATAAGATTTCCATTTATCTACATAAAGCACCTTCTTACAGAGAACTACAGTGACATATTTGAAACGTCCTGTACCACTGAGCCGGTAACGAAGCTCAGCTGGTCAGATGAAGCCAAATCCCACTCAATTGATCGCTATTCTTACGTTTATTAATGAAGGCATTACGTGGATATACCCCAACTCCAACTTAGTTGTGTAACTAATATCCGAAGCGATAAGTTTTAGTTTTTTTTTGAGAAATACGCAGATATTACCTATATATGTGAGTTTTATTTTCGTTGTATTCTGGAAAAGAAATTTTGTTTATAATCAACTTAAAAATGAGGTTATCAGTTTTATCTATATGTGTAGGCAATACTAAGGACATTGAAAAATGGCGGACATAGTCTCTTAAACAACGACTGTGGCACCTGGCTACTATAGACTTACACGCAGAATATACACACATTGACTCAAAGGACATCTGTCATTTACTTAAGTTTGTTAACGTGGTAACCCATTACACACGCACACATAAATAATCCACTGTCATTTCATTATGTTCGCCTTTTTTTTAATGTCCTTGATTAATGTTTGATGAGAAGTTAATATTTACTTGTTTAAATCATAGGAGACAATTTTTATAATAACTGACGTGAGACATACTAAGCCAATATACTGAGCCAACGCTGGCCAGTAGGCTGCGCGACATCGCCGCGACTGCGCACGCTGCTCAAGAGGAAGAACCCCTCCGTAGTTTGAAACTAGTAGAGCTTTTCTCAGTATATTCACGTGAGTAACCCGCGATTTTTAGTTAATATAGGAGACAATTGTTAAAACTAGTTTGTGTCTTTTTGTTGTCAATTAAATATAAGTAAACGTAACTGTGGATAAAAAGGGCTACACAAAAATTTAATTAAATTACCAAAAAGCCCCAAAAATATAAATATGATTAAACTAAAAAACGCAAATAAATTCAAAATTACTAACGGCTAAGTTAACACAGGGACGTATTCGAAAGATGAAAATGAAAAGCGTGATTCCATTCTTTCAATTCAAGAGCATTCTAATTTTGAATTCTGAGGGCGTACTCCAGCGACGTGATAGGTCCGTTGGCTGCCCCTGTCCCTTTGGGCCCTTTAACTTAGTCCACACTCAATTTGTCTCATGCTTAGAAATTCTATTCATGTTTGAATTAAAACGACCAAATGGTTCTACGTCACACTTTTGTCCTTAGAATCGAAAAAACTAAATTGTAATTTGAAGCGATTTTTGTTCTACATTTTTAGATAATCTATACACTTTTTTGAATATTTTAGCTGATTCCTATCTTAAAACTTTTAAAATAAAGTGGATTTTTGCGCACTAAATCCTCTTATCTTTGTATTGTTCTTAATCTTTGGGGTTTAAAAGTAAAAACCGGCGCCATCTTTTTGGCGTCATCGCTTATGCAAAAATGAAGCATCGAAAATGAATCAGCTATTGGCTAAATATCGTATTATTAAGCATTTAATTACTAAATACCTTTTATTCGAGATAAGTTTGAACATATTTATTCTCATAACTAATAGTTATCTTTCAATAATGGTATTGGCGTTCTGTCTCATAACATAACACGCCTTTTATCCCCGAAGGGATCGACTGAGGTGCACATTACGGCACTTAATGCCACTGTACAGTGTACACCCACTTATCACTATTTATGTTAAGAGTCCCATGTAATAGGTGATTCTGTATCATATGTAGTTAATTATTTATTTAATAATGAAAAAAATCAACTACAAGACTATGACAAAAAATAACCATCTTTATTATTGAACAAAATACAAGTCGTATCCACATTTAACTATCTCTCTGTATTACATTTACGCTGACAATATCAAGTAAATTATCCTTTAATAGGAGCAAAAGGACCAAACGCTTACTCTCCTATTTGTGGCTTAAATATTCCATTATGGAGCCTCAGAATGGAATCCATTCACCCAATATGGAACCTAGAGATTGGTCCTTTTTTCCAACATGACCCGCAGGTTATGAATAATTAAATTAAACCTTAAAAGGACTTTGATTACGTTCATTTTTTATTAGATTTTTTTCGTGGTGTTTTTTTTTATTTAAGGTCATTGGTGCGTCGCGTCGCCTAGTGGTTTAAATGTGTTCTATGTTTAGAAAAAAAAAAACATATATATTCGTAATGATGATTTTTATTATTAAAGTAGTAATTTAGAGTAGGGATTTGTATTTTATGTGACCACATGTTCAAAGTTCAAACGATACGACCTTCAAACCTTCAAGAAAAGAGCGTATTCCTTTTTAAAAGGCTGGCAACGCACCTGTGGCTCCTCTGTTGTTACGGGTGTCCATGGGCGGCGCTGATCGCTTACCATCAGGTGATCCGTGCTCGTTTGCCTCCCATTCCATAAAAAAAATTTCATCTTCTATGGAAAAAAAATGTCGTCTTAACATTACTATAGTTTAAGAGTATCAATAAAATGTAAAAACCTTTTAAAACATACACTTTCTACTAATCGCCCACATCCATTACTGTGTCAATATTTTTTAAAAGAGATAATTACTTCATATACAATTTACAGCTTACACAACTCAAAACAATTCCTACTCTAACACCATACACTTAACGATAAATTTCGCATGTATAACCTTTTTTTTTTCGTTTTTATGACACACAAGCTATTTCCAAGGTCTTTATCATAATCTGAGATAAGGCTTACATAAAAATATGAATCGGAGACTTTTGTTTACACTTCTTTAGTGGCGGTGGTGTAGACATTTTCCTTTTACGATATGACGTAGTCCATTATCAAAGGATCGCGTCATTTACTGTGAAAAATTGAACAATTTTGTACAATTGTGATGAATCAGTTGTTGTGAATCTAAAGTGATGAGAAGTGGCCATAATTTGATTAGTGATCTATGATTACGTGTTGGAAGACTGTATGTCAGTGAAGTGCTTGTTGTAGGTGATAAAATGATTAAATTATTGAAATGTAAGTAAATGTGGTGTTGGTATTGTGTCGTCTGATATCGTGTAGTTGAAGTAGCTAGAGGACGCCACGTGATAATAATATATATGATAGTGGTTAATCGTGGGTAATAGATAGGGATTTAGTTTTGTGTCTAAATTCTTGTACCTAGGTTTCGATGGTTTTCTAGCATATAATTAAATGCAGTACATAGTAATAGGCGGTGTGATGATAGTGATTAGTCTATTTTTTGTATTTGTAATACACTAATGTATATCTCTTTATGATAACTTAAATTTTGGATTCCAAATGTACGAACGAACCAACCATTACATAAATATAAAAAAACCATCCATAAAATTGGTCATTATACTCAACGGTGTACGTTGTCTAGTTATCATTCCCTAATCAATGAGACAATCATACATTCTAGAATTGTTTAACATAATTACTTAGATAAAGTTTTTAATAAACAACAAGTAAACACTTGATATCAAATCTGATATTTTCCGTATATTATGACAAATAAACTGCAACACAGTGGGCAAAAACATTAAATTCTTGGACAAAAGTCAATACTGGAACGCCGTGACAATCTGTGTAAGACTTTATTTAAATGCTTTATAGATTTTAAGGAAGGTATTAAAGAAAATTTATCGCTACAATGAAATCCCAAATACAAGCCACTTTATTTTAATTTTATTGCATTATATTTGTCATTTCTCTTACAAAATCTGTAACACCTGGCGGTTAAGAGAACTCACAAAGAGAAGCATAAATTTTACTTAATTACTTTGAAATTAATTCGTAGGTTGTAAATAAAAGGCTTAAATATAACCTTTCTGAAGTTACTTTTGCGGTAATACCAATTTTTAAGTGAAATTTTTATCTTAAGTACAAATTGAATACCACATTATGGTAGTATTTAATTACTGCTGTATTGTTGCAGTCTTTGAATACAATATCTTTCTAAGTCAAAGTTCTGATTATGGACTAAGCATATACCTTCATTATATTTTTTGGGGTTATGAAAACTTTAATACACTTTTCTAC